TCCCAAGCAGGCTCCACACTGTCAGTGCAGAGCCCAACACAGGGCTCGAACCCACCAACCATGAGATCATGACCTGAGCCGAAATCCAGAGGAACACTTAACCGGCTGAGCCAGCCAGGCGCCCCTAGTTTCTACTTCTTGTACTAAACCCTAACAGCTACACCAACAGAAATGATCTTATGAGATGATTAAGCATATTAGCTTATTTGTTAAAGAAAAAAGATAACTATTAAAAGCCCCCTAACTGGAATTTCCCTACGCGAACGTGTGTCGTGCCGTGTGGCTAACATGGCGCCTCACTCACCGTGGGGATAAAGGGCTCATCGGGCGCACAGTGGTAATTCTGTAGCAAGGCCTGCAGCTGCAGTGAATTTAACTTAAAGCAGGTGCTGTTGATATTTGGGGTGTCCTCAGGAGCGTATTTATCCATGGTGAGCAAAGTGGTCGCCTGGTTGGAAGAGTAACAGGAGATATGATTCAGGAATAGTTCACAACCGTCCCCCTGTACGTAATGCTTAAAACAGTAAGAACTTGCTAATTTCATTCTGAAACGCGGAATCTTTTTAAGTCAACACACTCCTATTGACATTGAACTGAACTGAAAAACATGGTCTAGCAAGGGTTTAGATAGCCTCATAATTTTACTAAACATATATACATTTATATTTTACTAAAATACAGAAACGTAAATGACATTCAATTCTTTATGTTCACAAAACTTTTAAAAAATTCTGAGAAGCTTAAAAGTTTACGTAACTAGTCCGATGACCAATTACTGGGGTCTAAATGAAGTTTCCCTGTAATGACCTTTCCCACAAGCAGCTCCCGCCATGCGAGGAGGGTAGCAGCCTCCTTTGGTACTAAATTACCTTAAAAGAGATTCAGAAATTGAGAAAAAATACAGAATTATACTCTGTGATAACAAAAGTCTTGGGTTTGAGGTTGTGGATCCTCGTTCCCTCGATTGTGGAGCTGTGGTTTCCGGTCGTTGGCCGTGCAAGGGCTCCTGGAGAACGAGTCGGGCCCGCACTGTCGTGTGCGCCTTGGTCCCCTTCTCCTCGTGCTCCTGTCCTTTGGGAGGTGGGGACTGCCAAGTGCTACACTCAGACCCTTCTCTTTATCTTCCGTACGTCTACTATGGGTTTTTGCTTTGTGCTCTCCCGGCTCCACGTGACGAAGAGCAAATTATTACCCAGTTTTTGGCTGGAATCCACCTTTCAGGAAGGACTTTTATGAAATACACCTACTGGTCTCAGTAAAAAGAACCTCTGAACGACATCTATGCTACTGGTTACAACCTGTTATGGGCTGAACTGTGGCCCCTAAAGTTCATATGCTGCAGTCCTCACCCCGTTACGTCAGAATGGGGCCTTACTTGGAGATGGGGTCATGGTGGAAGGAAGTGAGGGCTGCAGGTCTAACGCGACTGGTGTCCTTACAAACAGTGCACATCTGAGACACGCACGCACAGAGGGAAAACACCCTGAAGATGAAGGCAGAGAACCACCTTGCCGACACCTTGGTCTTGGACTTCTGGCCTCAGCAACCGTGAGACCGTGTCTGTGGTCTAAGCACCGAGCTTGGGGTACCCTGTTACAGCGACCCAGACACACCAGTACAGCACGTGAAAAACCCCAATGGGGGCTATGGAGGCCGTGCCGAACCGAAGTTCTCACCCCGCACTGAATGAGAGACGCTCGTAACGACGTCCGTGAACCTGTGCGAGGAGACTCGATTCAGCCCACCTGCACTATCCGGCTCAGGTGACAGTCGGCCGCCAGCTCTAATCCCTGCTTCTCTGCCCAGGCTTCCACGTGCCCCAGCTGCTGGCGGATGATCGCCCCCCAATAGTGAGAGCACAGTCCCGACTCGGGGTCGGTCACCAATCTGTTGAAGAGCCACATGTTGATGAAGTGGAAGAGCTGAGAGAAAAGCTGGATGGTCAGAGCAGCATTGACCCTGCAGCGCCTCAGCAGTGCCATCGCTCCCGTGAGCGTGTGCAAGACGTCATCTGTGCAGAGATACGGGATGAAAAGACGAGTCTGTGAATCAATGGTGCACTTGAGAAGACAGCGATTACGGTAATAATACCAATTTAGTCATGTTGAAGATACTAATCTATTCAAACAGGAAGGAGTCACACCCACACGGGTGTTAACTACACTTAAGTTCACCCTAAGAGACTTTTTGAAAAACAGTCACATATAACACCCCGTGCTCATGCCAACAAGTGCCCTCCTCGATGCCCATCACCCATCTAGCCCATCCCGCCCACCCACCTCCACTCCAGCAACCCTCAGTCTGTTCTGTGTTTAAGAGTCTAATTTGTCTCCTCTGGTTGTATCTTATTTTGCCTTCCCTTCCCCTATGTTCATCTGTTGTGTTTCTTAAATTCCACGAGGGAAATCATATTCGTCTTTCACTGACTTATTCTGCGTAGCATAATACACTCTAGTTCCATCCACATTGTTGCAAGTAGCAAGACATCATTCTTTCTCATCACCGAGTAATATTCCATTGTATACAGATACCACATCATTTTTTTTATTAAATTTTTTTTAACATTTATTTATTTTTGAGACAGGGAGAGACAGAGCATGAACTGGGGGGAGGGGGGATCAGAGAGAGGGAGACACAAAATCTGAAGCATGCTCCAGGCTCTGAGCTGTCAGCACAGAGCCCGATGCAGGGCTCGAACTCACGGACCGCGAGATCATGACCTGAGCCGAAGTCGGCCGCTTAACCGACTGAGCCACCCAGGAGCCCCGAGATACCACATCATCTTCATCCATTCCTCAGTTGATGGAAATTTAGCCTCTTTCCATACTTTGGTTATTGTTGATAGCACTGCTATAAACACTGGGGTGCATGGGCCCCTTCGAATCAGCATTTTTGTGTCCTTTGGATAAATACCTAGTAGTACAATTGCTGGGTTATAGGGTAGTTCTATTTTTAATTTTTCGAGGAAGCTCCACACTGTTTTCCAGAGTGCCACACCAGTGTGCATTCCCACCAACAGTGCAAAAGGGTTCCCCTTTCTCCACATCCTTGCCAGCATCTGTTGTTGCCTGAGTTGTTAATATTAGCCATTCTGACAGGTGTGAGGTGGTATCTCACTGTGGTTTTGGTTTGTATTTCCCTGATGATGAGTGAGGTTGAACATGTTTTCATGTGTCTGTTAGCCACCTGGAGGTCTTCTTTGGAAAAGTGTCTGTTCATGTCTTTTGCCCATTTCTTCACTGATTAGTTTTTTTTGGGGGGGGGGCGGTGTTGAGTTTAAGTTCTTTACAGATTTTGGATACTAACCTTTTATCCAATATGTCATTTGCAAATATGTTCTCCTATTCTGTAGGCTACCTTTTAGTTTTGTTGATTGTTTCCTTTGTGGTGCAGAAGCTTTTTCTCTTAATGACATCCCTATAGTTCACTTTTGCTTTTGTTTCCCATGTCTCTGGAGACATGTCAAGTAAGTTGCCTGCAGGTGAGGTCAAAGAGGTTGTTGCCTGTTTTCTCCTCTAGGATTCTGATGGTTTCTGGTCTTAATTTTAGGTCTTTCACCCATTTTGAGCTTTTGTGTATGGTGCAAGACAGTGGTCCCGGTTCATTCTTTCGCAGGTTGCTGTCCAGTTTTCCCAACACCATTTGCTGAAGAAAGTCTTTTTTTCCACTGAATATTCTTTATTGCTTTAAGATTATCTGGCCATATGTTTGTGGGTCCATTTCTAGATTCTCTATTCTGTTCCATTGAACTGTGTGTCTGTTTTTGTGCCAGTACCACATTGTCTTTGTGATTAAAGCTTTGTAATACAGGTTGAAGTCCGGAACTGTGATGCCTATAGCTTTGGTTTTGACTATTCGGGGTCTTTTCTGGTTTCATACAAATTTTAGAATTGTTTGTTCTAGCTCTGTGAAGAATGCTGTGTTATTTTGATAGGGATTGCACTGAATATATAGATTGCTTTGGGTAGTATCAACATTTTAACAACGTTTATTCTTCCAATCCATGAGCATGGAATGTTTTTCCATTTGTGTCCTCGATTTCTTTTATAAGCTCTCTGTAGTTTTCAGTGCATAGATCTTTTACCTCTTTGGTTAAGTTTATTCTTAGGTATTTTATGGGTTTTGATACAACTGTAAATGGGATCAATTCCTTGATTCTCTTTCTGCTGCTTCATCATTGGTGGATAGAAATGCAACAGATCTCTGTATGCTGATATTACACACTGCAACTTTGCTGAATTCATGTATCAGTTCCAGCGTTTTTTGGTGGAGTCTTTGGGTTTTTCACAGAGTATCATGTCTTCTGCAAAGAGTAAGTTTGATTTCTTCCTTGCCAATTTGAACCCCTTTTCTTTTTGTTGTCTGATTGCTGAGGCAAGGACTTCCAACACTGTGCTGAATAATAGTGGTGGGAGTGGACATTGTTGTTGTGCTCCTGCCCTTAGGGGGAAAGCTCTGTTTTTGCCCCATGAGGATATTAGCTGTGGGTCTTCCATATGAGGCCTTTATGATCTTGAGGTGTGTTCCTTATATCCCTTTGATAATTTTTTTATCAAGAAAGAACGCTGTATTTTGTCAAATGCTTTCTCTGTATCTATTAAGAGGATCCTGTGGTTCTTATCCTTTATTAATGTGATGTATCACATTGATTGATTTGTGGATATTAAACCAGCCTTGCAGCCCAGGAATAAATCCCACTTGCTCATGGTGAATAATTCTTTTTATGTGTTGTTGGATTTGGTTTGCTAGTATCTTGTATGAGAATTTTTGCATCTGTGTTCATGAGGGAAATTGGTCTGTAGTTCTTTTTAGTGGGGTCTCTGCTCTTGGAATCAAGGCAATGTTGGACTCAGAATGAGTCTGGAAGTTTTCCTTCTGTTTCTGTTTTTTGGAATAGTTTCAAAAGAATAGGTGTTAAGTCTTCTTTAAATGATAGAATTACCCTGAAAAACCACCTGGCCCTGGAATGCTGTTTGTTGGGAGTTTTGATTACTGATTCTATTTCTTTAATGGTCATGGATCTGCTCAAACTTTCTATTTCTTCCTGTTTCAGTTTCGGTAGTTTATATGTTTCTAGGAACTTGTCCATTTCTTCCAGATTGCCCAATTTGTTGGCATACAATTGCTCACAATGTTCTCTTATCATTGTGTTTTTGTGGTGTAGGTTGTGATCTCTCCTCTTTCATTCGTGATTTTATTTATTTGCATCCTTTACTTTTCTGATAAATCTGGATACAGTTTATCAATTTTGTTACTTCTTTCAAAGAATCAGCTCCTGGTTTCATTGATCTGTTCTACTGTTCTGATTTCAAGACAGCTGATTTTTGCTCTAATCTTTATTTTGCTTCTTCTGCTGGTTTTAGGCTTTGCCATTCTTTTTCCAGCTCTTTTAAGTGTAAGGTTAGGTTGTGTATTTGAGACATTTCTTCCTTCTTTAGGAAGGCCTGGATTGCTATATATTTCCCTCTTATGACAGCCTTCGCTGTTTTCATTTTCATTGGCTCCCATCACTTTTTAATTTCCACTTTAATTTCTTGGTTAATAACCCATTCATTCTTTAGTAGGAGATTCTTTAATCTCCCAAGTATTTGTGGTCTTTCCAATTTTTTTCTTGTGGTTGATTTCTAGTTTCATAGTGTTATGGTGTGAAAACATTCAAGGTATGATCTCAATCTTTTGGTACTTATTGAGGGCTGATTTGTGACCAGTATGTGATCTATTCTGGAGAATGTTCCATGTGTGCTCAAGAAGAATGTGTAGAATGAAATGCTGCTTTAGGATGATGTGTTCTGAATAGATCTGTTAAGTCCATCTGGTCAAGTCATTCAAAGCCATCATTTCCTTGTTGATTTTCTGCTTAATCTGTCCATTGCTGTAAGTGGGGTTCTGAAGTCCCCTATTATTATGGTATTATTGTCAATGAATTTATGTTCATGATTCATGGATATATATATTTGGGTGCTTCCAAGTTGGGCGCATATTTACAATTGTTAGATCTTCTTGGTAGATAGACTCTTTAGTTATAATGCCCTTGTTCATCTCGTTACAATCTTTGTTGTAAAATCTAGTTTGTCTGATATAAAAATGGCTACTCTGGCTTTCTTTTGACAACCATTAGCATGACAGATGGTTCTCCATCCCCTTACTTTCAAATCTGCAAGTGCCGTAAGGTCTAAAATAAGTCTTGTAGGCAGCATACAGATAGGCCTTTTCTTATCCTTTCTGATATCTTAGGTCTTTTGGAGTATTTAGTCCATTTACATTTAGAGTGATTGAAAGATATGAATTTAGTGCCATGTATTTAGTGCCATGAATTTAGTGCCATGTAGTGCCGCCTATAGAGCTAGGTGTTTCTGGTGATGTTCTCTGGTCCTTTCTAGTCTTTGTTGCTTTTGGTCTTTTGTCTTTTCTCCAAATAGTCCCCCTTAATATTTCCTGCAGGGCTGGACAGTGGTCACAAACTCCTTTAGTTTTTGTCTAGAAAACTCTTTCTCCTATTCTGAATGACAGCCTTGATGGATATAAAACTCTTGGCTGCGTATTTTTTGGATTCAGCACGTTGAATATATCCTGCCACTCCTTTCTGGCTTGCCAAGTCTCTGTGGACAGATCTGCTGTGAACCTGATTTGTCTTCCCCTGTAGGTTAAGGACCTTTTTTTTCCCCTTGCTGCTCTCATAATTCTTTCCTTGTCTGTGTATATTGTGAATTTGACTATGATCTACCTTGGTGACGGTTTGTTTGTGCTGAACCTAATGGGAGTTCTCCATGCTTACTGGATCTTGATGGCTGTATCCTTCCCCAGGTTAGGGAAGTTTACAGCTATAATTTGCTCACATAGACCTTCTGACCTTTTTTCTGTCTCTTCATCTTCTGAGACCTCTAGGATTCGAATGTTTTTCCTTTTGAATAAGCTGCTAAGCTCTCTAAGTCTTGTATCGTCATCTTTTGCATTTCTCTTTTTTTCTGCTTCATTATTTTCCATAATTTTTGTTATTTTCCACAATTTCATCTTCTACCTCACTGATTCGCTGCTCTGCTTCGTCTATCCTTGCCATTGTGGCACCATTCAAGATTGCATCTCGGTTATAGCATTTTTAATTTCAGCCTGACTAGATTTTAGTTTTTTTATCTGAGAAAGGGATTCTCTGGTGTCTTCTATGTTGTTTTTCAACCGCAGTTAGTATTCTTATAATCGTGGTTTTAAATTCTAGTTCAGACATCTTATATCTATGTTGATTAAGTCCCTGGCTGTCATTTCTTCCTGTTCTTTCTTTTGGGGTGAATTCTTCCATCTTTGTCATTTTGCAAGAAGAAAAAAATTATAAAATAAAAATTCAAAACAAAACAAAAATCAAATAAAGGAAGCTATATCCTAAGTGTGTTTCAGTCTGCTTATTGAAAGAAGCTTTATGGAAGAGAGAAAGAAGAGACAGGAAAGAAAAAAAAAAGTAAAAAAGTCAGGAAATTAAAAGAAATTTTAAAATCGTAAAAGACAATAAAAATAGATTGAAAAAATTTTAAAAATAAAAAAGAATTTGCTCTTTCTGTACCCAAGAGGACAAAAAGAATGAGGAAAAAAAAAGATTTAAACAAAAACAGAAGCAAAGAAAATAAATAAGTGGGCCAGCAAACAATGAAAACCAAGTGAAGTTACATCCAGTTTTCCCTAGAACTGAAACTATGAAGCCCTCTATGAACTGTACACTAAACAGATGGATGGACTTGTGCTGGTCTTCTGGGGGAGGTGCTTGGTTGGTACGTGTGATGGCTCCATTCTCCACTAGATGCCACTGCTTAGCTTAGCTTCTGGGGTGGATCAGGAAAGGTGGAAATGGCTTCACCCAGCTCCTAGTCTCTGGTGCAGGAATCTCGCACTCTCACCAACCTGCAATCAAGTACTCCTCCTTTGTCTCAGGCCTCTGTCCACTTCCTGCCTCTACCCTGTCAGTGTCCAAGCCGTCCCTTCCAAAGTTTCATCAGGCAGCACCTCCCTCCAGAGTTTCATCTCAGATGGGATTGTGTTTCAAAAGTCCATACTTCACCAAAATCTACAAAGAGCTCACCAAACTCCACACCCGAAAAACAAATAACCAAGTGAAGAAATGGGCAGAAAACATGAATAGACACTTCTCTAAAGAAGACATCCAGATGGCCAACAGGCCCATGAAAAGATGCTCAACGTCGCTCCTCATCAGGGAAATACAAATCAAAACCACACTCAGGCATCACTTCACG